GTGTCTCTTTTTAAGGTGACAAAAACATTCTAAAATCGTGGTGATGGCTGCACAACTCTGAATCTATTAAAAGCCACTGAATGGTAGACTCTAAGTGGGCGAATCGACATCTCCATGAAGCTGTTATAAAACAAATAATAGCAAATGTTTATCTAGTGCTTCCTAGATAAGCACTTGACATGTATTAACTCATTTAATCCTCACAATAATATTCACCTTTTACAAATGAGGAAATCAATCTACGTAAAGGTCATTAATCTGGCCACAGGTGGAATCCAGTGGAGCTCAGATTCAGACTCAGGCAATCCGGCCTCTGAGTTCATGGTCTTAACTCCTATGCTTTACTGGCTTCATGTTCTTTTTAAAAAATTAATTAATTAATTAATTTGTTTACTTAGATAGAGTGCACGCATAAGTGGGGGGGGAGGGGCAGAGGGAGAGGCAGAGGGAGAATACTAAGCTGACTCCATGCCCGGCACCGAGCCCAGTGCGGCTTGATCTCAGGACCTTGAGATCATGACCTGAGCTGAAATCGAGGGTCGGACGCTTAACTGACTGAGCCACTGAGCCATGCCTTACTGTTCCTAAAAGAAAGAAACAGATCTATACAGATAGGGAAATTCTGCAAGATACAGTAAGTGAAAAAAATCAAGGTGCGCTATATCCAACGTGGCATCCCGGACTGGATCCTGGAACAGAAAGAGGACATTCACCTAAAATCTGGTGAAATCCAGATAAAGTCTGTGGGTTGGTTAATAGTATCATACCAATTTGGGTTCCTTAGTTGTGACCCATGAACCCATGACCGTGGTAACATGTCCCTATTAGGGGATACTGCGAGGGGCACTGTGGGAACTCTGTACTATCTTTGCAACTTTTCTGTAAATCTAAAATTATTCCAAAATAAAAATGTATCTTAAAACAGTAAAACAAAAACAAAACACCCAACAATCAAGGTGCTTGAACAGTCTAGAATATGTTACCATTTGTGAGGCGGCGGAAAAAGATATTCTCCTCCTGCATTTGTGTATGTACATTTGAATCTGCACAGAAAATCTGCAGAAAGAGAGTAAGGGGTTTCCTGTTCTAGGCAGACTGCTTGGGAACAGGAATCAGGGGTGGAAGGGAGACCAAGTTTCTCATCATTAACACTTTTGCGTTGTCTGATTAAAAAAAAAAATAACATGCGTGCATTTTTTTTTTTTTTTACTTTGGAAAATGATTTTTCTTTTTTTCTTTTTTTTCTAGAAAGTAAAACATTGGAAAAACTGCCATCCGTGTCCTCAAGTCTTGAGGCTGGACACTGGGGCTTCAGTTGTACAACTCCTCAGGCTCAGGTCTCCTTTGACAGGAAATGTTAACCAAGATGCCCAAGCAGTTTTCTGCTATTCAGCTTTCCAGCTGTATGCCATTTTTTAGGGAAGAAACTCAAATTTTACCTCCACCTCTGTCTAGTTCTGGGGCCCCCTGGGCAGGTGTTCCATATGTGCAACCACCCTCATCTGCTTATGTCCACCTGCTGGAGAAGGATCATCCCTCCAGATGGTCTGTCTGCCTTGCATCTCCCTGGGCTCGCTGGGCCAGGAGCTGCGGGGCTGGGGTTGGCCTCTCCTCCCCTCATACATGGACATGGACATGGCTCTACTAATCTACTGATCATATTCTCGATATTTACTGGGGTTTTTTTCCTGCTCTATTCTATCAATCACTAAGAGAGGCATGTTAAAATCTGCCACTATGATTGTGGATATGTTTTTATTTCCGCCCACTTTTTAAATTAGTATATGTAAAGTGTATAATTTGGTGGGTTTTAATATGTTCACAAAGTTGTGCAACCGTCACCGCTGTTTTCATCACCCCCAAAAGAGATCTCATACCCGTTAGCCATCACTCTTCCTTCCTCACCTCCTTCCAGCCCCTGGCCCCCCACCAATCTACTTTCTGTCTATAGATTTGTGTACTCTGGACATATTTCTGTTCACTTTTGCTTTATAAACTTTGAGGACAAGTTATTAGGTGTGCAGAAATTGCAAATCACATTTTCCTGATAAATTGAACTTTTTTCATTACAGAGTGATCTTGGCCTTAAAGTCTATTTTCTTTTGTAAAGTCTTACATTCATATAACTACACCAGCTTTCTTTTGGTTAGTGTTTGCACGGTCTATCTTTTCTAAGCCTTTTACTTTCAACCTTTACGAGAGGTCTCTTAGAAACAACATGTAGTTGAATTTTTAAAATCTTTTTTGATAGTCTTTATCTAGAACTTTTAGTCCATTTACATCTAATATAACCTCCAGTATAACTGGTTTAAATCTCCCATCCTATAATCTACTCCTTTTCTGCTTTGTTATACTTGTTCTGTTTGTTTTTTGCCTCCATTCAAGGGACTGAGTGTGTACCATTATGCCATCGAGATACTGCAACGTAATAAGAAATATATATATCTACATATAATAACATAATTAAATACATATAACATATGTGAATTAAAAATATGTAATATATATATTTTGGTCTTTGACCTCCATTCTTGGCACAGAGTTCCTAAAACTCTTGTGATTTCCTAATAGAGGTGAGAGGAGTGTCTTTTGTTGTCATAACAAGCCCCTTTCCATCATATCTGAGTTTATGATAATGAGGTGACTCTTGGTGGTCCCCCTAGAGAGCTTCAGGATGGGGTCTGGTTGCCAGAAAACCAACCATGTGTGATTAGTGATTAGAGGGTTAGAACTTTCAGCCCTAACCCCTCACCTCTGGGGGTGGGAAGAAGGAGCTGGAGGTTGAGCTAATCACCAATGGCCAATGATTTAATCATTTGTGCCTACATAACAAAACCTCCATTAGTCTCTGGGGTTCAGAGAGCTTCCAGTTGATGAATAAATATATCCATGTGCACAAAGGGTGGTGGTGCACCCCAACTCCACTGGGACAGAAATCTCTGAGCTTGGAACCCTTCCAGAGACCTCACCCAATGTACCTTTCTTCATCCCGCTGTTCATCTGTACTCTTTATAATATCCTTTGTATCCTTTATAAGCCAGTAATCATGTTTCTCTGAGTTTTATGAGCCATTCCAGAAAGTATTGAGCTTGTTGCGGGCTGGGGGTGTGTGTGGGAACCTCTGACTTTGTAGCCAAGTTAGTCAGAAGTGAGTATCCTGGGGACCCATTACCTGCCAACTGACACCTGAAGTCAGGGCAGTCTTGTTGGACTGATCCCTTAACCTGTGGAGCCTGATGCTAACTCCAGGGTAAACAGTGTCATAACTGGATTAAATTATTGGTGCCTGGAGAGTTGGAAAATTGGTTGATGTGGGGGGGGGGACTGCACACAGTTGGTATCAGTGTGTTGTAATCAGAAAAATAGTTTTCCTTTAGCCAAGCTCTTCTGCCATCGTGGAAGGGAGATTCAGGCCCTAGCATGTGCCTCTCAGCCTCCAACCTGGCAGTCCAAGCGCCAGGCAGAGAGCAGGTACGTCAGTGATAATTGAGTTTACAAAGGGTCAATGAATGAGCGGTGTTCTGTCCGGAATCATTAGCCCTTGGGCACTAGAACATCATGGTGGCCCATTTGGTGGCCCCAGATCAAGGGGGCCCAGAGAGATACAAGCCTTCCTTCAGGGGACTGATTTCAGCCGACCTGAGCTCCAGTCCTGACTTCGCCACTAGCTTGCTGTGTGACCCTGGGCACCTCACTGCGCCTCCCTCAGCCTCATATTTTCTCATCTGTTCAATAGGGAGGCTGGACTAGGTAACCAAAAGCTCAGATCTGCTGCGTGTATGTACCAGGTACTATTCTAAGCGATCTGCAGATAGTAATTCATCCAATCCTTACCACAACCTTATGAGTGACCTATGGTTACTTCTCTCACTTTTACTCGGGGAGCAACTTAGGCACACAAAGTCAAGTGACTTGATCAAGGTCACTTAGGAGGTAAGTATTGGGTTAGGATTCACACCTGGGCAGTCTGGCTCTGGAGCCAATGCTTACAACCACTAAGAGTTCTGCATCCATTGCCCAGAGCACATGCCAACAAAGGAAACCCAAGGAAAACAGAATTCCAGCACTTGGATCAAAATTTCCTCTTTTCTCAGGCCCTACAGTCCTTATCAGTGTGCTACTTTAGTCTCACAGAAGTGTAACTATGGTTCTGAACTTCAGCCTCCATGCAAGCCCATCTCTCACCCCATCCAGGAGGAGGGGGCTTGTGTGGAGACCCAGGGAGTTTCTTCAAACAGAAGAGAGAGGTCTGAGATTCCCGGCGCAAGAGGCAACCTCTGATTGGGAAGGAGGCTGTTGGGGACAACAGAGCTGATGCAGCCCATAGGGCCCACACCAAATCCCATGTCTGTCTTTGCTTTCCCAAAACCAGCAGAGGGCCTGGAATGAACGTTCTAGATAACTGTTTGCAGGATGAATGACAGTTCGGGGGCTCCAGGGCCATTCCGATCTGGTTTACTATCTTGGGTTGCTCATTGTTCAGTGCGTGCCTCTGGCAGGAATCCAGTCTCTTCCCAGAACACTTAGAATAAAATCCAAACCCTGGTCTCTAAGGGGTATGTGATCTGACCCCTCTGACCTCATCTTTAACCACCTTTGGCCTCAATCATCTTGTCCCGTTATACTGGCCTTCCCTGGCTTTCTATAAAACTCATGCCCCAGGGCCTTTGAACTTGCTTCTCTCCCAAGATACGTGGCTCACTCCATCACTTCATTAGGGCTCAAATGTCACCTTGTCAGAGAGGCCTTCCTTGATCACTATATCTAAAGAAGCCCCGCCCCCTACACCTCCATCACACCCCCCAGTTTGGGTTCTTCCAGAGCACTGGTCGCCATCCGGAACCACGCCATCTATCTGTTTACATATCCATCATCCTGCTCCTCCACGCTAGAACCTAAGCTTCACGAGGGCTTTGTCTTGTCCACTGCATATCCCCTGCGCCTATGATCACTGTGGGAGCAGCCTTCTCCCAACCTCCCAGGCTGGCCCCTCCCCTTACCTTCGTGCTTCTGGAACTCCTCCTCAGAGAAGCTGGTATCTTTGTGCGAGAGGTTGGTCATGAGCTGCTTGTTCTCCTCCTGCAGTTGGGCGATCTGAGAAAGGAGGTCCTGCGCCTCCCCCCGCCACACGTCCTCCACCAGCTCCAGCTCCTGTGAAGGCGACGAGCCAGCGTCGGGTCACAGCCTGCCCAGGCAGCAGCCTCATATCCACCTCCCCCCACACCCTCGGGAGCGGCTCGGACCTGCCAGGGCTCCCCCTGAGGGCGGGCACACCGAGAACAGGGCCACCACTAGTCCACACAGCAGCTCTGCAAGAAACAGAAGGTGCCCTTATTCCGGGCAAGGCCTGCATTTGTGCTTTAGGATTCGGCCAGGTTTAGAACAGCCTCAAGAGCCGCAATTGTACCTCATAACTATCTAGACAGAGAGAGCACGCGGATGAGCAGCCCTGCACCACGGGGACCCTGACATTCCCAACCTCTCTGGGGAACGTCACGGCCCTGATCTGTGGACAGACCCTGAGTCAGGACCCACCTGTCTCCAAGGGACAAAGGGGCTGCAAAGACCCCGGGGATGCCACCTGGCCCCAGTGCTCCTTGTATGTCTGATACTGGCATCTCTTCGAGGGATCTTGGGCAACCAATTCACTTTACAACTCTGAGCCTCAGTTTCCCTTAGCCGGGGAGCCAAATATAAAGATTCAAGGGGCTGATGTGTGGATAACTAAGATTAGTCTATTAAAATCATTTTGTGGATGGCTGTAATCAAAGAAACAGATAGAAGGATTGACAAGGATATGAAAAAACTGGAAGCCTCAGGCCCTGCTGGTACAGCCACCGTGGGAAACAGCCTGGCAGCCCCTTAATAAGTTAAACAATTACCACGTGACCAGCAATTCCAATCCAAGGATCTGCCCAAGAGAAATGAAAACACAATGTCCACATAAAAATCTGTATGTGAGTGTTCACGGCGGCATCATCCACAAGAGCCAACATGTAGAAACCACCCAGATGTCCATCAACGGATGAACAGCGTGGATCAACCTTGAAAACATGATGCTAAGTGTAAGTAGGCCGCACAGTGTATAACTCCACTGATGGAAATCTCCAGAACAGGGAAACCCAAAGACACAGAAAGCAGACGGGCGCTTGTCCAGGGTGGGAGGGTCGGTGGGGGAATGAGTGACTACTCATTGGTGTGGGTTTTCTTTCCCAAGTAATGAAAATGTCTAAAATTGATTCTGGGGGCTCCTGGGTGGCTCTGTTGGTGAAGCTTTTGCTTTCAGCTCAGGTCCTGATCCCAAGGTCCTGGGATCGAGCCCCGCGTCAGGCTCCCTGCTCCGCGGGAAGCCTGCTTCTCCCTCTCCCTCTCCCCCTGCTCGTGCTCTCTCTCACTCTCTCTCAAATAAATAAATAAAATCTTTAAAAAAAAAATAAAAACGATTCTGGTGGAAGTTACACAACTCTGTTGAATAGACCAAAAACCACTGAATTAGACACTTTAAATGGGTGAACTATATGGTATGCGAATCATATTCAATAAAGCTTGTAACCAAAAAAAAAGATCTTTGGTAAAACCAGAAACTAAACATAGCACAATCGCTGTTGCAGGGACACAGTGCTGGTTTAAAAAGCAAAGATACTGGAGCCTGTTGACCCAAGTTTGAATCCTGTCTCTGCCACTTAGTAGCTGATCCCGGAGAAGTTATTTGACCTTTGGGTGCCTTGGAAATGTGGAAAATAGTGTGATATCTACCTCCGAGGGCTGTCATGAGGCTGATGTCAATGTCTGGAAGAGTGCCCAGCACCCAGAAAGTGCTAAAGATGTGTTTGCTGGTTTCTGTTCCTCCTACAGCCTGTCACCAGCCGGCCCAGGTGGCCGGATAAACGGCCTCCGTTCATCTTTTAAATACATCCCTAAATCCACATCTCCTTTGTCAGGAAGCCTGCCGCAGTGGGGAAATGAAAGGTAATAACTAAGTATTCGCCCAGCTGGTTCAAGGTCACCAGGCGAGGTGAAGGACAGGGCCAGACGGCAGACTGAGGGAGCGGGCATGGGGCCTTCCCATGCGCAGGTGTGGGCTGGAAGCAGAGGCAGGCTCTCCCACGCTCTCTCTCTGCTTCCACCTGGCGCAGGCTGAGCACAGAGGCCCCTGGGGGCAATGGTCAGGTGTACCTGACTGCGCATCCGGCTCCCCAGAATGGGGAGAGTCTCCTGGGTTATCCAGGTGGCCCAATGTAATCACAAGGGTCCTCCTCAGTGAAAGAGGGAGGGAGGGGGGTCAGAGTGGGAGACGATGTGGTGACAGAAGCAGAGGTGATCCGAAGTCGTCTGCCGGCTGTGAGGATGGAGGAAGGGGCCAAAACGCAAGGCGTGCAGGTGGCCTCTGGAAGCTGGAAAAGGCAAGGAAGTGGATTCTCCCCTAGAGCTGCCAGAAGGAATGAATTTCCTGACATCTTGATTTTAACCCACTGAAACCCATGTGTGGTTTTTGACCTCCAGAATTTTATGCAGTATTATCCATATTGATATGACCCATAAATATCCAACTCTGCATTATCATAATAAATTCGTGTTACTTTCAGCCAGTAAGTTGTGGTAACTTGTTAGGCAGCAATAGGAGATGAATACAGACTTTAACCCTTAGAGGTTTTTCTTTCCCCCTTTCCTAAAGGGGGTGGGAGGGGGTATGGTTCTTGCCTCTGAGCTGACCACGGCGAATTTAATCTAGCCCCCATACCAGCTAAAAGGCTCTTCCAGGAAGTCACCCCTGATTGATTGATTACTTCCTTTGCCATCTTCAAATTCCATATGCTGGCCTACAAGGCCCAGTATAATCAGAACCCTGCATCTCCCTGATCTCACCTCCCACCTCTATTCCTTACTCGCTCTGTTCTAGCCACATGGGCCTTCTCTGTGTTCCCTTTTTTTTTTTTT